GTACATTATTCAATCGTAAATAGAGCAACTAACCAATATCCGTCGGACAACCATTAAAAAGGGCTATCTGTTGCAGATATATATATTTTTTCTTTTGAATGGCAAACTGCACCTGCCTACTTAAGTGGTTGTATAGTTGCCACAAGATTGGGGAAGATGCTGCCGAAGAAATTCTTCATCCTTGTCAGAAACCGGACTTTCCTTGTATCTTTGCTCTCCATATTATAGACATAAATAGTTGACAGCGGGGATTCCTTGATATTAAGAGAAAATTCCTTAACTTCAAAGAAAATCTCTCCACTCGGGTTTAAACCGATGGGCTTGACTATCTTTTCTCGCAATGAAATTTCCCTTGTGTACCAAAGTTCCGGCAACAATAAATCCACAACAGTCCACCTTGGACCTCCGTAATCTTCTTCTAGTATCCAAATCTGCTTGTGTTTTTGTTGCATCAGAGTCAAGCGTCCCCTCAGGTCGCCTACAAAATGTACAATACCACCAATCCCGCGGGGAAGAGGCAATAGTTGAAACTTCTCATGAGTTATATCGTAGGCCAGTATGGTGTCATTCTGATCTGAACGCCGCCGTGGAAGTTGAAATCTTTTGCAAGGGGGACAAATGATCATATATATTACGCCGTTGATGCTACAGTATGTCTTGACATGGAAGTCCTCGAAAAGCTCTTTTGGAAGAGGATAATCGCTTGTCGTTTTCTTCCAACAATTGGCTCCCAAAGTCAATACTTCTATAGATACTTGGCTTTTATGAATATCGGAATTTTCAATGTAGCCATCCGATATGGTATTCATACGGAAATCCATCCGACAAATGCATAAGACCTTGTGTTTCTTGATCGAAACATCGAACCCCAAAAAGTATTTACTGGAGACACTCCAATTGTCACATCCTGCAACGATTCCCATATTCTCAATCACCTTGCTTGCGTCCCAAAAGGGATTACGAGGAGGAAGGTGAACAACTTTTCTGGTTGTAGGGTTCCAAATAATGTTTTTACGATGTACTAAGCCTTCAACGTGTTGCCATTCGCCATCGTCGTTGGAAAAGAATTTTTCTTGGAGAATAATGGGGACTTCAAGGTGAGCAAATTTACCTTCTGAATCTAGTAGAAAAAAAATCATTGAACTTCCTTCTGCCTTCAATAGTTTCCTCTTCCTGTGTACACTTCCTCCTAACGAGAAGGTTGGTGCCACGATTACAGGGGCGATTGCGAAAAGCATCAACAAGTTCAGAATCTTCAATAATCGAACACCAATGCTTTGATACACACTTGAATCTCAATAATGGTTTCGGTGGAAGTTTTACGAATATTTCTAAAAAGATGTCTTTCGGAATAGGAACAGTATTTTTTCTCTTAATCGGTTTCATCTTGTCTAAGGACTTGTTTAGGTTTTCGAAAATTGATGTTGATGACCAAAGGAAACTCTCTCTCTCTCTCTCTCTCTCTCTATATATATATGTGTGTGTGTACACATATATGGGAGAGTCCAAGTTATCCGTGTTACCCTTTTTCCCTTTGGCCTGTCTAACGAAAAACAAGTAAAGCTAATTAGTTAAGTAGGAACGAAGTTGTGGAGACAAGGAGTCATCATAAGTTCATAACTCACAAATGAATATCTGACATGATACCATGTGTAGGTTTTAACCGACTATATATTACTATTTTCACCAGAAACAGAATTGTGATTGTAAATTTAATAGAACTTTTCACAATTTATTTAACTTACTCTTTGAATGACAAATCTTACTAAATTATTAGCTAATATACCAATATTTGTACAAAAGTTACAATTTTTTTTTATATAAAACTTACTACTTTTGAAACCTAAACTTGTGATTTCATACTAAGAAATCTTACTTTTTTAAAATAAAATTTACTACACCATTGGCAAATCTTACTAAGTTTCGAGCAAAATTTATCATTGTTCACGGAAAAATTACTAATTTTTCAATAAAAAATTCTGACTTCATTAATAAATCGTGCCACTCCTCATCACTTCAAACTTTTCCTTAGGAAAAGTGTAATTGTCAGTGTGCGTGTATGTAGTAGGTTAGGTGTGATTTCGACACTAGTTAAAAAATTCCCTTTTTTTTATTTCTTTTCTCTCCTTTTCTAGCCCCTTAGAGAGCTGGACTATAATTTGCAATAATTTAGAAATCAGTATGGATTCATTGAATAAAGGAAAAAAAAAGTTTCACGCTTTTTAGGTGAATAAAGTTTAGGAGTGCTCAATTATACTTTTTTTTTTTTGTAATATTCCAAACCTTAGGATTGTTTGGTGAAATTGTCATCAATCTCAATAGAGGTTTTGAAAATTACTCTCAGTTAACAAGTACATTTGTACTACAATTTATGTGTGTTAAACAAATGCCTCTTAGGCATCATGTAGAAATCCTACATTTTAAATGGTACTAAGTTGAAATCTTAGCTGTATGTTGCTTATTTAATGTCCTAAAGGATCTATTGAATCAGTGTCTATATACTCATTAATACACTCAACTTATATCAACTAAATGTCTATGTGAGTAATAATGCTCCCATCGTTGCACTTCGTTACTTTTTATTGATCTTACTCTTTTCTTTCAAAGAAAACAAAAAATTAACACTTGGGGCTCAATCAAATTTCCAATCGTAGCTGTAAATAAATTTGCCTCGTGAACTTTGTGGTGGTGGTGATCAACAAGGCACATTTATGTGAAAGCCAAAGACGTATATATTTGGCTATTAAATGTAAATGCATGGGGTTGAAAAAAAAATGCTCCATCAACCGGTACGTGTTCATGATAATTGGGAGATGTGGGATCTATTGGTGATAGTATTGAGGTATGAGATCTACTAAATATCTTCAACCTATTCTTTTAGAAGTATTATCTAATGTAATTCCTCAGTTGACAAAACTTTGACATTTCACCCAAAAAGACACTTGGATTCAAATTCACTAGCTCAGATTTCGGCCTAATTTCCAAGGATGATACATGAAGCAGTCCATTAAGTGAGAGACTCCGATGACTTTCGTGGCCTATATGGATGCTGACTTTATTAAATATCTTTCTGGGTTTTTTTGGGTCAAATGTCAACAATCTACATCTATATCTACTCTTATTTCTATATTATGAGAAAAAGGATAGATCTAACTAGATCATTGGAAATTAGAAGGGACTAAACCACCTTTAAATCATAAATCAGACGGGTATTCTTTGGAACCCATTGAATTTGAAGAAGTCGTATAGAATGGCAATTGATGGTAAGACGAATGTGGAGTTTTCAATTAAACGAAACTTGTGTGGTCTCTGTTAAATGGAAGGTACCAATAATTTCTAAGCTGGGGCTGGGATCATTCAATTTTTCATTGGCTACGTTACGAAAATAAAATAAAAATTGAAGTTTGAAGTTCCAACTAGAAGATGGTTGTCCACAAAAACGGGATACATTTTAGATACTTTGGTGGTAATCTTTGGCTAATTGCAGCACTACAAGAAATTTGGTCTTTTGTGACAATATTATCAGTGACGATGAAAAACTTGTCATAGTTGACCCAATTCAGTGATGACTTTTGATGTTGTCACAGATGACCTCATATAGACTTATCATCAGTGACAACATGGGATTAGTCGTCACAACATGGGTGGCACGGGAAATTATCTTTGTGACAATTTGGAAAAATGTTGTCACTAAAATGGTCCATTTAGTGACAACTTTCAACATTGTCATTGTCACTCTATCGATTTAGAGGTAGTGACAACAATTAGTCGTTACTGTCTAAAGTACTTCTTCCTAAATCACTTTCATTCATTCTACTATGCCAGCCTAACTTTTGCGATTTAGTCCCAATTGTGATTAAAAAAAAGTTTCATTAATTCTATTATGTAACCTTAACTTTTGTAATTTAGTCCCATATGTAGTACACCAATTTCTTTAATTCTAATATTACACCCTAACTTTTGCAATTTAGCCCTATATTTAATTCACCAATTTCATTAAGTCAACTATGGCACTCTAACTTTTACAATTTATCCCCATATGTAATACACAAATTTTATTAATTCTACTAGGGCACCCTATGGTGTTGCAATTTAGCCCTTTTTTCTATTAGCAAAATACAGAAGGTATCTTAATAAACTATGTATACATATTTTATAATTTTTCCAAATTTAGGTAATAATTTGTTCTAAATCTAAAAAAATTTCATACATTCCTTATTTATCCTGATGACAACATGGTGGAAAATTAATATATAGGACAATCTAAAAATAGAGGTCGTTGATAGTAGAATTTAACAATAACTGAATACGAAATTAAGTCTAATCCTAACATTTGCATGATCAAAAAGTTGTTATTAATTATAATAGTCAAATTTATCATTTATGAAATGGTACATATACCAAATACATTTAGCGTTTCGTACATGTATTTGCAAACTATTTTGCTTGTTCGATCAACTAATTCGATCGTCAGGTTTTGTTAGGCTATAAGTCATACACAATTGATAGCACCAAAAACTGAGTATCAAAAAGATTTTGATTAAAAGAATGTTTATTTTTTTTTTGAATCATAAATATATTTTTAACAAAATTTTTAGTTTTTGTACTATTTTATTATATAATAAATTAGAAAAAGTCCTATATTTAGTTAAAAATGCTAAAAATTTTTGCCCAAACGCACTAAATTGTCATATTCTATTATTTTAATACAATCTGAGAGTAAAAAAAATAAAACTCAAAACAATAGAAAAACTTAATTACATAACATAAAGTTGGGAAAAAGAAAAAAATAGAGAGATAGGAGAAAGAACGAAGAAAGCGTGAATTTCTTGCATCTAAATAGGAAGAACGCGTGTTATTTATTCATTCGGAACTAAGAGCGGCAAATTGAAAAATTCAAGAGGCATGGCGCGCTAAAAGAATTTTAAGGAAACGACATCGTTGCTTCATTAGTATGCACTCTATGTCCAAAACACCTAGCCAAAATTTCAGACATCTTTTCCCTCTCTCTTTATCCTCTTCACTTCACCGAATGTACTACTCTGTATCAAGCTCGCAGTACCAAATCCATCCGTGAACTAGAGTTTTCAATTGTCTTCCATAACCAATCAGTGCAAGCACTTTCAATTTGGGTAACTTTGTTGAGCTCGCACCACCAACATCCTAATTCGGCTGATGCATTGGCTTGGTGGCAATAAATTAGAAATTAGGGCTTGAAAGTTTTTAACAAAAGCAGAGCAGATGGGATTCTGGGACTTGATCAACTCAACAACTGAAGCCGTGAAGCGAAACGCACCCGCTCCAACGGCCATCATAGATCCATGCAAAGCCTCCTATGGTTATAGCTCTGCCGTCATTGGCAACATCGATAACGCCGTCAAAGTCAACGGGATGCAGGCGCTCAATGACTACATGCCCAGCAAGGAACCCGGTCAAGGATCAGCCTTTTCGCTTCCAAGTTCACCCAAAATGCTGCTCGTCATGCTCTCCGGGAATTGATCCCTGGTGGAAAAACAATGGCTGAAATTATTTCTGAGACAATGACTGATGTGAAATCTGAGAATCTCAGCAAACAAAAGATGATGGCAGTGACCCAAGTTACAGGAGGTGGTGGTGGAGGGAAAGTCTCCGCTGGCAAGAATTTGCTTGACCGAGTAGAAATGCAAAGCAGAGGTTTGGAAATGGGGTCAGCTGACAAGGGAAACTTTGCAGAATCAACTGCAAATCAGATACCAGAAGATGTGCTTCGCATTTTCATGATGAAGGAGTTTATGGGCAGGCGTTTTGCTGATGACTTGATACTTCCTCAGATTAAGCATGGCATCAAAACCAAGTAAATGGCTGCAATAAGGTCTTTGATCATTAAAAGTAAAGCTTTGGTCTTTCCTACTGATGGAGGAATATGCTTTGCTGATTTCTGTAGTCTACTCTAGTGTGTTTCAGCAATATATAAATAGTACTAGTAGTTTTTTCTTGAAAAAACAATTTGGGTGAAAGCTGGAGTTTAGAGTTTGAAGCTTGGGGAAAACGAGAAGTTAGGGATTGAAGGCATAGTTTGAGGTAATTTCAATATTTGTATCTAATCTTGCATTGCATGGTATACATGTTTGTGGCTATGGCTAGTTGCACCTTCTCTGTTTCTTGTCAGATTTAGTTTTTAGGTTCTTGAATCCCTTTTTGTTCTGGCTTTATAGATTTGTTGGATTTTCATGAATTGGTTATTTGTTAGTGACCTTTGGCTAGAGTGCTGTGAATCTTGTATTGTGTTCTATCTAAGCTATGAAAATTTGTCTACAGTTTTGTATATATATATTGTGGCTGATTTCGCTATCTTCAAAATCTGGTGTTGTTTTGTGCACTTCGCTGTGATGGTTTTCCATCTTGACATGTTTGCAAGATGTTTCTCTGATAAAGGATAACCTTATGTGATTCAAAAGGTAATTTTTTGCTTCTTGTAGAGAACTGAATTTGCCTCTTGAACCTTAATCTCATAATCAACAGTAGCCTTGCTAAGTTGTTTAGCCTTTAGTTGCTCAGTCTTGGCCAATGCATTTTTCCTCTCAACTTCTTTTTGTAACTCTGCCTCGCTAAAAGCTGCAGCTTTTTCAGCCTCCACTTCAGCCATCTTTGCCTGCTAAGCCCATCCAGCCTTTCTGGTAGCTAGAAGAGCATTGGCTTCAGCAACATCAGCCTCCCTTTGATTCTCAGCAAAAGGTTGTTCATCCAACTAGCAACATCAGCACCATTTCATGCTTAAACTGGTGGTCAGAGAAGCTTAAATAACCAGTTCTTTTCTCCATTTTCAGGTTAGAGAGCTTGAGAGAAGATTAACTGAAGAGCAGGAACATGACTTAAGGCTATTTCACTTCGTCAGAAGGTGACGCTTACTCTCTTTCATATGTTTCTTCCACAAAGAATATTAGAAAGTATGTGTACAAAAAACCAAACTAAGATACCCAAACTAATTCGAAGTATCTATGTAAAATAATTTTGTGTTCTACCAATTGAAAGATATTAGAGGGATGATATTGGAATTGCGTTAGTGTAGATGCAAATAATGTTGGGAACACAGGGCTTGCTAGCATTATTCATACTTTTCTTGTAGCATAGTTGGTCAAACACATAACTTCATGCCAAACATCTTAATTTTAGAAGTTAGACATGATAATATATTGAAGAATAGCTAAATCCAAATTAAACTCAAACTTGCTAGACTATTGTCTACTGCTTTAGTGCCTAAACGAGTCAGATTTTGTCCACAAAGTGCATTTCCAAATAATGTTGGACATTTTTAGACTAACTCGGGGCACTAAATAGTTATAATAGTATTAAAGCAGTACCTAGTTTTAATTGCAGCAAATGATGTGAAAATTTTAATAACTGGATTTGTCAAACATTTGTGCTTGTTAGGGTTTTTTTTTTTTTTTTTTTTTTATAGTCTAAGTAATCAATGGTTGAATGTTCTTGCACTTGATTAATTTTGTTGAAGAAACTCTCTACTTTGCAATGATGTCTACTATTTTCTAACATTTTTTAGTTTGACAATGGCAGTAGTAGCATAAAAAATAGTAGCAACCTCATTAGCATCTAGATTCAAGGTTAGTATTTCAATTTTTTCCGTACTTTTATGCTATGCAGTGGGCTATAATTGTGAAGTATGCATATTTTTGGCTTCTTCAATTTTTGTTAATGCTTAGATAAGCTTGAATAGGCTTGTATGATTTGACCTTCTGCTTGATAGCATGTAATGAACAAAATAAGCTCAGTTGTTCGCTATTTTGGTCTATGATGTTGTGTTTAAAATTTTCCAACCTAATATTATTCTGCTTATCCATAAAATGGTTGTGTAGTTAAGTACTAGAGCACCACACTCTATTCTTATGTTCTGGATTTGTAACTCTATGACATGGACAAAAATTGGATGACACTTGATAATAGAAAGGATGAGTCTTAGAAACTTGCAGTGGCTACTTTCCTTAAATTTGCATATTCTTAGAAGGCAAAACATGAAATTCTGACATGAAATTGAGAAGGATATTAATCAAGATGGGGATGAAAAAAGGGGTAGTGATATTGAAAATTTAAATGATATGTTCAATGACATAGGCACTGCACAATGGAGGGGGGAGGGAATTGGTTCAATCGGGAAGAACATAGTGGAGAGAGGTTGAATATGAATGAAAGTAAAATTGATACCTTCATATGATTGTTGGAAAATGCAAAACAAGAGCTCTATCCAGGCAACCAGTTTTCCTCCAAGCTGATTAAGAACTTGCAGGAGCAGCAACTTGAAATAAGAGGGCTATATGAGAATTTGATTGCCCAAATGAAAGAGTCACTTAAGACAGTTTATGCTGTCGCTTAAGGGAGCTTAGCTGTCACTTGCTTATGTTTTGAATTTGCTGGCTATGCAAATATGTCTAATAAATAAGCTATTGGAAATAATTAATGATGTTCTCTTTATTTTGGTTGAAACTCTATTTTGACTGATTCTTTTACTTCTTATCAAGTTGCCAGTAGTTGGAGTCTTGTTGTGTATGACTATTCATTCAAATTTAGTCGTAAAATGTTGTAATAGCATATTTTTTGACTAAAGTCTATTCTTATGCATATAATACTTTATTTTCAATGCAGTCCAATTTGATATTGATCATGAGGAGGCCGTTGGATATGATGATAAAGATGGTTGAAGTCTGACATTAGTGGTGCAATCTATGCTTTAGCCTAGAAATCTAGTACTCTATTTTTTTGGGAAGGATATGTATTAGCCATTGATGCTTGAACTGTGGGCTTTGGGACCCAATATTTTTGGTTGACTTCTAGTTCGATGAATTTATAGATGTTTGTGGCCCTATATATATTAATTTGTGACTTCATTCTACATTAATTTTGCCTTTTGTCAAATTGAATGTTCCGCTTTAATTTATTGGAATGCTATATTCGTAATGATCAATTTCAGCTCTTCAAAACAAAGCTAATTTATAAGTTCACTAAGTGATGATTATTCTTGTCACTGAATAATGGGACTGATAGTGACAAACTTAGGTCGTCACTGTAAACTTAAAATTTGTGATGACTTTTGCTTCATTTATGACAAAAATATAGACGAAATAGTGACAAGAAAAGTCATCACAAAATGATATTTTTTAATGATGACTTTTCCCTCGTCATTGAATAACAAGATTTTGTGATGACTTTCGAAAGGTTGTCACATGGATCCATTTGTGACGTAGAATCTGTGACAACCATGTGACAAACAGAAAGCGGGCTGAAGTACTGTCAGCGAAATCATCATCTATAGGCAACCAACCAACCCAAAAAAAAAAACGATGAATATATGCGAAATTTAAAGAAAGAATTGCACTTTTTTTTTTGGGTTGCTAGGGTAGATTGTCTCTGCGAAACTCATACAAGATCTGATCTTCTACTCCCCACCCCAGTGCTTGAAACACAAATACTCAAATTAGTTGGCAGACTTGGTTGCCATAGTTAATGCTGTCAATTTCAGTTATTGACTTGACTGAAGTAAACGAACGTCTTTTGTGGCTGTATTTATTGGAACCAAACTGAACGCCGGCCAGCTCCACTGAAAAGGAACTTATCATCCATCATCTTTGATTCATCACCACTGTTTAGGTGTAGCTATGACTGACCAAACTGCAACAAATCTTGTCAAAACGCACGAGGCTGTTGTTTCAAGTGTGTTCATTTTATTTAGTTCGAGAAGATGGAAATGTTACTAGCAAAAGAATTTGCTCTTATGCGTTAAACATATGTCAAGATGAGAAATGGATATATCCTCAGTGCCATTAAACACTCCTTGTATAATTATAATTTTGATCAAATCTTTACTCGTTACTATAAAGTTTTTCATAATCAATACATGTCATCTAACGTTTCGGGGAAAAAAAAAAAGGATAGATAATTGTGAAGGCCAAAAATTATCATGACCGATAATTTAGGAAAATAATTAGTCTGACGGTTTCTGCATTATACGAATTTACAGAATTATGATCGATAGATACACAACCTCTTCATAAATTTAATTTTCTATACACACTTGTGCGCAATTACATTTATTTCCATTGCATGGGCTCGGTTTTAGTTGGGCTTAGCTTCGATTGGATCGCTCTCGGTTCAAGTTTAATTTCTACGGGAACATGTCAAGTCCGGTTTTCTTAGCCCCGTTCAGACGTGACCATACCACAATTGCGTCATCATCTCTTTGACTAATAATCGTCAGATAATTTATATTACCTAAAAAGATCAGAGAATGTTGTGGTGCCTCGAAGATATTTAAAGCACTTCTAGAGAATGATCTTTTAAGTTCTTAAAGTCTACGGTATGGTCCCTGAAAAAATTTCAAAAAACAAAAGTCTAAAGTATGGTTACAGTTTTTCCAAAGATACGCTACTATTACAAAAAGTACGGGATGTTGTCCTCAACACTTATTGTGGTGCTCGAGAAACAAACCTTGCTACTATCTCATATCCAAAAAAAAAAAAAAAACCCACGTGAAAAGCTTGTGCTAAAAGGGGAAAATTATTTTTGAAAAAAAAAATAAACAGCCACTCCTCCTAACATAAAATTAAAAACCTCGTTTTTCTAATGCCCAATTACTGGTTAGGGTTCTGCCGGCCGACGGCAACGGTTAAAATCACTACAGGTTCGTCCGGGACCGCCCGGGATGCAATTCGCGTAGCGCGCACTTTCGCAGGTTGGCCTAGGCGAACTTCCGCCAGTTGCTCTGGAAGCAGAGGGCGAAGGTCTTGGATGCACTGCAATCTTACTACCCCCACCTGCCAAATACAAAAAATCACTAGTATTACAATAAAATTAGATATTAATATCAAAAGGGCTAAATCCATGCACTTCAATTTCCCGCTATATATCCTTAAAAGTCTATAGGAAGTGTGTCAAATTTAGATGTGAATGTTTTCGATTAAAATATACTCGATCGCGGTTAAGCAATAAACAGAAAATGTAAACAAAAAGATGTATACTATACTTACTAGTGCAGAGAGCGGGTTGGACTAAAATCATGGAAATCATCAAAAGCCAATAAAAGATGAAAATAGGAGAAGCAAAAGTCTTCTTGCTCATCTCTGTGTGGCTGTCTGAAAACTTGTTCTACAAGCAAAAGTATTGGTTTGTGATTCTACTCGGAGAAAGATTTAAAAGGAGAAGCTACGTGGACCGACCGTGGGAAAAACTTTTAAAGACTTCACGGTCTTTTCGGGCTGCTGCTACCTTGACCCCCACCCGAGTCTTGAGTGACAAGTGAGTTTCCCTTCGTAACTCAAACTGGACGCTAACTAATTATGACAGCATTTTATTGGCTCTGGAGACATGACCCACTATGGTTCCATCGATTTAGATTCGTCTGTTTTTCAAAAACTAATTTTTTAAATATTGTAAAAATTTTTAAAAAGTACTCTAAAAAATATTTTAATTTTTTAATTTTAAAAGATGTCCTAAAATATATTCCAAAAATCTCTTCAAAAACACGATAAAAAAAAAATCTACGGTAAAATTTTTTGAAAAACTCTGCTACGGTAAAATATTTCAAAAACAACCCTAAAAATAACTAACGTATTAGAGTGTGTGTAATTGAATTTTGAAGTTTGAAATTAACGTATTGGTACCAGACAAATGTGAAATTTCCACTGAATTTGACAATTCCATTCAAATGAAGAAAATGTTAGTACTTGAATGAAACTGTGGATTCCATTCCAACTTACTCGTTCGACTTCATCCCTCTCTTTCATTCAAACAGAACAGGTCAATGATGGAAAATTTTCGTAATGTACGGGGATAGAAATTATGTTGAGATTAATGCATGCACGTTAAAGAAAAAAGAGACTTCATTGACTGAGAAAATTTTCCCCCAGGGATTTCACACGTGCAATATGGTTCATGTTAATAGTGAAGAACTTGTGCTAAGAGGGGAAAAATTATTTTTTTTTATGGACTCTCTCGAAGGTGTTTTCTCCCCAACACATAAGATAACAGCAGATGGTGAATACCTATTAGGATCACCTCCATATTCAACAAAATTAGCTTTATCATATTTGATAAATTTTTTTTTCAAAATGTATTATTATTTGTCCAATGAAAAATCCTGATACCAAACACTCGTGTGATGCGTGGGCACTCCCCCACTAGTTGTAAATATATATATCAGCTGCCACCACCAATTATATACTGTTGACATTTTAATCTTAGCAATATTAATTGTTTCCGTGTTGCTAATAAATACCATGGGAAAGACTGGCTGATCAGTTTCAATTTTCACGGTTTGCTACACTTTAGTACTAAACTTAATTTAGGAGTTAACTCTTTAATTCCTCTACTAATAAATTTCGTTACGTGTTAAGTCCTTGTTATGAACTTATCTTTTGATGTTAATACCAAAAGTACAAGTTTTTCACTATTTGACTTGCAAATACTCCAGTGGGAAATGGACTGGATCAATGGATACGAAGTCGTTTTTTTAACAGTCAAAATGATCGGTCATTTGTTTTTAAACTAATGGTGGTATAAAGTAAGGATAAATGACTATCTATGAAAATGAAGCTTTAGAGTTTAGACACACAAGGATTTGAGACATAAGTACATAACTATATATCATCACTGATTGAATTACGTAGTATCTATATCTTTTATGCTGTCAATTGTGATTAGATCGCTGATAAGTGGTTTTAGCATTGAATAATCTCCTATACTCCTATTTAAGAGGGACTTTAATCAGTTCAGGGGTACTCTAATACGAATTACAAACCAAAGAGTTGACAATTAGTTCAATGACAGGAAACACGGAAAAGAAATAAGAGGATGAAATGGATAGTCGAAAAGGGAAAATGAATTGGAATAGTGAAATTGACATTTTTTTGTTTCATTTATAAGCTAAATTATGGGGTTATATACGCCTTTAGATTAAGAGTTTCTGAGTTTATGCGACGCACTCTCCAGCAACTACGTTTAATAAAAAGAGGGTATGGTTGTGAAATAAAATGTTCTCAAGTATCCCCTATTGGAACATGTGACAAAGTCAATATGAGCCTTCTCAATTTCATATAATTTAAACCATTGCTTGCCCTTCACAATTACTTTGATGTCTCAATTGCTAGTTAATTTTAGTTACATTATTAGGGTAAATATTTATAATTTTACTTACATTATTAGTGTAAATATTTATAATTATCTTTTATACGTTCATGTACAGTATCAGCGTAATAAAAATTAATCATTCGGTGTCATAGAGTTCAGAACTCCATCTAAGGAGTCAACTCCTTGTGCAGATTGGGTGTGAATGTTTAAAGCGTTGAAAGATAGCTTAAATTCCCTAATAAGTGTTTGAAGTTAGATCAGCACTACCAAAAATATTTGACTTGAACAGTCGCATTTCTGGTGAAGACTTCAGCAGTATTACTAAGTCATGCTGCCATCCGTATATAAGCACAAAATGGGAGAGGAATTAAGGCCCAAAATTATTAAGCATTGATTGTAAACAGCTTTTACACAGGGGAGAAGCACAAGGCATGGGGAGGAAAGCAGCATTAGCTATGGCGTTCAATCTGCTGTGGATTGTCATTATTTTCTATTTAATTGAGATTTCAACTGCTCGAAAATTGTTGTCAAAACTTCCCGGCAAGTGAGTAAATTTCTTTTTTTTTTTTAATTGCCTTTCTTTTTGAATCTCCGATGTCTTCCTTTTCTTTTGATCAGAAATGAAAAGATTAAAAAAAAAGTGAACTTTATAACTTGTATTTTTCAGTTACGATTATGAAGCAAAGTTTAAGAATGATTTTGAAATCTTTTTTTTTTTTTTTAAGCCCAAAAAAACAAAGAATCTTCTCATTGACGAAAACACGAAAACAGATAGTA